ATCACTGAACCTGGAAGTGGTCTTAGGGACCCCTGGCATAGTACCCCTATGAAATGTTGACTTTTAAAGAGACTGAGTAGCCTTAAAAGCTTTACTCTTTACAAGAACTGAAGTTCTTTAAACTCTAAACTCAGCTACTGCAATCTTTCTGACCAAACAAATAATCCCTACTCTTAGAAAAAAGGAATGAGAAATAGGATTCTAAATTGTGAAATTTTTGAATGAATACTTTCTCTTCTTATTATAGGTTGTATCTTTATAATTTAAGTAAAATCTTTTAGAAGATTTCAGCATCTTATGGGAGATGCTGTCCTGGATTAGAAGCTCTCTGAGAGCACAGAGCCCAGAAGACATTATTCTGGTGTCTTCCTAGCTTTTGGTACAGTGCCTGCTTCATTTAGTTTCTCAATAAATATTTTACATGAATGAGCACAGAAAACTAATTTCAGTTATAAGTTATTCTTTGATAATGTGCCTTGAAATTTTGTTCTATTTTTTTAATTGTTGTTGCACCTCCCCCCAGTTAGAAGCCAAAGTATAGAGCCAATTCTAAATTTTCTTGTATACTAGTTTTGAAATTTGCCAACATTTGTAAAATTCATAAATGAAATCTTTCCATATGATAATTCTTTTAGCTATCATTTGCTACATATAAATTTCTCTAAAATTCAATGGCTTAAATAGATAACCATTTTATATTTTATTCATTTTTGTGGGTCAGAATTTGAGCAGGGTTCATCTGGGTTGGCTTGTATGTGTAGCACCTGAGTCTGTTGGAGTTGGGATATCCTTACATATCTAGCCTCTCAACTAGAATGGCTCAGATGGTAGCAAGCAGATTGGAAGGACTTGACTAGGATCAAATGTCGGGGACCTTGGTCTTCATTTCACCTGGGATCTTCTCTGAGCAGTCTGAAGGCCTCTCCACATGCTCAGGGTTCCCAGTGGTACAAAAGCGGAAGCTTTTGCTAAACTGTCTCAAGGCTTAGGAACCCCACTTCTGTTGGTTAAAGTGATCCCAGGGACAGCCCAGATTCAAGGGGAGAGGAAATGGAACCCACATTTCAGTGGGGACGTAGATAGGGAAAGGAAAGGAATTGAAAGCAGCAATCTTTGGGATCATCTACCCCAGTAATAATACATTTGTACCAACTTTTCAAAATTTCCTGTCCTCTTCATAAACTTTGAATTTACATGTTGTATTCTTGTTTTATAGTTGAAGTGTCTTGGTTTTATGTGACAGGGCAAAACAAAGAAATCTTAAAAGGCAGTGTGGCAGAGTTATAATATGTAACTTGAAAAAGGAACTATTTACCATGACCATGTCATTAAAGGTGTGGGAATAACTTCATAGGAGTTAGAAGTTTGTCAGAGGTCTCATATACGGTCAATGGCAGAATAACTTAGAAAGCTGAAGAAACAAGTTATTGTACAGTTGTACACCATGAACTTTAAACATCTTTTTCCTTTATTATTTATCAAGTTAAAAATTGATGACTTAAAAATTAAATTTATGGATGTGTAGCTTCTAAAAACATGTTTTTTTCCCTTTTTTTAAAGAAAAAAGCTGTCAATTTGTAGATAAGCTAACCCATTGGTGAAAATACTCAATTTTCTGCATGTAAACCATGCATTGATAATTTTGTTGGCATCATTTGCCTCTTTGCAATACTATCCAAAATAGAATTATATCCTAATTGAATTTTCTCAATGAATAATTTGCTTGTGAACTTGTGTATCTAAGGGATATGAACTGTGTTAGCTTTGTATTACTATAACGACCTAAACACCTGAAGCAGGTTAACTTTAATAAGAAAAGAGGTGTACTTAGCTTATATTTTTGAAGATTCAAGGGCATGGTTCTGGCATTGGCTCAGGACTCAATGGCTGATTATTATAGTGGGAACACATACAGGAGGAAGAAATCACCTCAGGAAGCCAGAATGCTGGGTAGGTAGGCGAGGCTTGCTCTTTTTATAGCTACCTTTTTGAGAGAGCTACCAAGGGATTCCATGAGAATGACCTTGATCCCTTCCAAGGGCAGTGTAAGGACTTCCCAGTAGGTCCCCCCATTAAAGGTTACATAACACTTGCTAATATACCACCTTTGTGACCAAGCCTCTGATACATGGACCCTTGGAGGCCGAGCCACACCCAAACCATAGGATGCACGTACAACTGTCTAAACCAGTGGCTCTTTTCCTACCTTCTCATTAGAATCACTTCAGAATGGTGATTCTAATGCCTGGGTCCCGATCCAAACCAATTAAGTAAGAATCTCTGATGGGTGGAACTCAAGCATCTTTTTTTTTTAAGCTCCCCTTGTGGGTCCAGTGTATTTCAAGCTTTTTGAGAGTCACTGGTCTAATTAAAATTATTTCTATGTGCCAATAAAAATTGTGTTTATTCTACACTTAAGTGGCTGTTTTCTGTACCCAGCAATATTCTCTTTATGTTTCCACTTGGAAAAACATAATGTAAATTTAGCAAAATGAAATTATATGTATTAAGAAGTGAAGATCTGGAGAACTTTTTAAGATAGATATTTTACATATGTAATATGATGTTTCAGTTGAAGAATTATAAATTTCCCTTCTGAGTTAGTTAACCAGAAATTAACCAATTATTGTTCAGCAAGACTCATTTAGTAAATGATTTGGATCTTGGCCATGATTAGTTAAATAGTAAGAGACTCTTAGGTATGTCTTGCACCCTATAGCCAGGAAGAGTATGTTTTGTCTAGGGTCATGCACTACTACTAAAATAGTGGATCATAAATGTAAGCATTCCTGTTGAGAGGAATGGGATTTTGAAGTTAGGTTCCAGTAGCTTTCAGAATTTTATGGACAACGTGGGAAATGACCATGTTATTTTGAAGTTGGATTACCAGCAGAAACAAAACAAAACAACAACCCTGTTTGATCCTTTGTCTAGGGTACAGTTAGTTCTTGACCATGTTAGACCAGGGATTAGAAACTATGATCTGTGGGCCAAATTCAGCTCTTTCTCTATAAATAGTTTTATTAGGACATAGCTATGATCATTCATTAACTTACTGCCTGTGGCTGCTTTTAGGTTCCCAAGACAGTGTTGAATAGTTGTGACAAAGTTTGTATCATGGACAAAGCCTAAAACATTTACTATCTGACCCTTATCAGAAAATGTGTGACTATTACATCATACATTGCCTGCCAGTGCTTCTAGATAGGTCTTTTAAAGCTGAATTTGGTCTTTTAACACAAGTGTCTGGAAGTGATTCAATTTTGAGGGCTTTCAAATGGAGGCTGCAATCGAGGGAGAGCGATTTGCCTTGGTAACAAGGAGATTATGCTGCTTATCCTCTGACGCTCCTACAATAAGGGTTGCTCACTTTCATGGGCTGGGTGTCTCCTTGCCTGGCTCACCCACTGTATCCTCCTGAATCACAGTCTGTGCTGTTGGTGCTGTCGAGGGCGGACATATGATAGCAGACATCTAAGGAATTTGGTCCATGAAGAGCTTCACTGCACTGGGAAGACAGAAAGACTTTTTCCAATACCTTGTTAAAAATAGATCTAGATATGGAAGCTTAAAGATCAAGCTCTTGCTGGGCCCTGGTGACTGACTCATCTTGTAATCCTAGCTACTCAGGAGGAGATATCAGGAGGATCTGATTTGATCTGGTTGAAAGCCAGCCCAGACAAGTAGTTTGTGAGACCTTATTTCAAAAAACCCATCACAAAAAAGACTGGTAGAGTGGTTTAAGTAGTAGAATACCTGCCAAGCAAGCATGAGGCCCTGAGTTCAAGCCCCAGTACAAAAAAAGGAAAAAAAAAGAAAGAACGGAAAAGATTAAAGCTGTTAAATCTTTAGTCCTGGTCTAAATAGAGTTACAGAAGGTAGAAGTCCAGTGGAGAGATATACCTGGCTCAGTTCCTAGTCTCATGCACCTTAGATGGAGACCTCTGAGCTACCAACTACCTCTTTACCTGGGACACTTGAATGCTAGCAAAGCATATACTTGCTGTGTTCCTTTCACCTGGCAAAGCACTACCCGTAAATAACTTGAGGTTTTAAAACTACAAATATTTTTAGCTTTCTAAGATTATAACTCCCCTTTCTAATATGCAAAGCTATTAATTAACTTTTAGTCCCTTTATTTTTCAGTTATTTTGTAGAAAGACATTGCATATAAAAGCAAGGAAGGGCCTGTAGATAAAATGTAATGGTATTCTGGTAAGCACTAGGCACCTGATCATCAGAGCCACAGGTTTAGAATGGAAGTTATACTTTTTTTTGAGATGGACTTGCTTCAATCTCATGATCTTCTACCTTAGTCTGGAATTGCAGGAGTGCACCACCATGCCTAGGTGTAAAGTTACAATCTTGAGAATTATTTGGGAGGGGTTAGGATATTCCTATAAACTTTCATTAATAAATGTCAAGTTATTTTTGTTACCTCAGAATACTTCTATAAAATACTTAAGAATGGTTTTAGACCAAAATCTCTCATATGAAATCTGATTATTTCATTTATTCTTTTTGTAATTTAGGCCAAGATCTATACCTGAAAGATTTGTCTGGGTATAGTACCCAACCTTACTAAATAAATTTATGCTAAAAGAAGAGTTTTCTGCCTGTTGTCTTTTCTTTTCCTAAGGTACTGTAGGGAACCTATATGTGGCTGAATTTCCTAAATTGTAATAGTTCCACGTGCTGATAGTGTTTGAAGACCCTGGTATATTTGCTTTCCTAGTGTGGATAAGGCAGTGAAGGTGATGGAGTTAATGAAAGGTTGAGTTGTTTCATAGACTAGAGTAATAAAGAAACCATTGATCCTGTGGAGGCTGAAGCAGGAGGATTGTAAGTTTGAGGCCAGCCTGGGCTGTACAGCAAGACTCTGTCTCACAAAAAAAAAAAAAAAAATCATCCATAATGAATTTTCTCTTATGCAGTTTTTTTTAGTTGGCTATGTGTATGATATATGATTTACTAACTCTCATCCCTTCTTTATATAATAGGTCAGTGACTATCATCTATTCCACAAGATGAGTAATAGCCACCCTCTCCGCCCCTTTACTGCAGTAGGGGAAATTGATCACGTGCACATTTTGTCTGAACATATTGGTGCCTTGTTGATTGGGGAAGAATATGGCGATGTTACATTTGTTGTGGAAAAGAAACGGTTTCCTGCCCACAGGGTTATTTTAGCTGCCAGGTGCCAATATTTTCGGTAAGTGTCTAGTACTTTTTCGAAGATACAAATTACCTGTACAAAACACTGGTATTTTCTATTCTATGAGAAATAGAAATTGTAATCAAGTATTACAATAATTCTATCAGTCCTTTACTTCAGTACCTATACAAATTCCATCTTTATAGGTTTTTTGTTATTTTTGAGAATAACCTTTTCCTTTATAGATCATCTTAGATTTATGGGGTTAGAAGGCTTCGAAGACTAGACAGTACCAGTCTACTAATTTTCAAGGTCTGAAGAATGTTTCTTAGGCTGAGTCTTTGTTGTCCTGTCTTTTCCTCACAGTAGATGACAAATAGGACTTACATGATTTACTGGCGATAGACTTCTTGTTGAATAGGTAAGCTGTCTTCCAACCAGCTAAAAGATATGAATGCCTATTGGTTTCAGACACTAAGGTTTAGGATCTGTAGGAAACTCAGATGTGCAGTTTGACAATCCCAAATTAAAAGAAACAGCTATCAAGATTAAACAAAATATTCTTCAGGGTTATAAATGTTAAACAGATTTCTTGATTGCTATGTATTTTACCTAATATTGGTTAAAGGGAATCACTGAATTCTTGACTGAGTGATGATTCATTCTTGATAATGGATCTTTTTATCTTTATAAAACTAAAGATAGTCCATAGAAATACAGATTTGGCTGAAGAAGTCGATATTTAAAAGTGGAGATGTCTGTGTCTTGGAGGAGATTTCACTTACCTTTTAGTGAAAATTGCAGTCTGGCTTTTACAATCAGGATTAACTAAGACAGCAAGACCACAGCACCTAGAGTCACACACATTGTGGTCAAGTGTGTCTCTTAGAAATATATGCTTTCTAGCTAGAGCTCCTACAGTTCCTTAGGAGTGTTTTAAAACTTAACCATTGTGTGTAAATCAGATGGCACCGAGGGTGAAACCAGTAGCTTAGAGAATAGAGAATAAGAGTTCTAGTTAATACTCTCCTATTCCCCTTCCCAGTGGTCAAGTGTACCAAGGTATCTAGCCTTGGTCTGGTCATTACTTGTTACCAGCCTATGTCCTTGTATACTTTCCTTTTGTGTTTTCCTTGTCTTTTCTTACTTTTGCTGTAGTCATTACTATTAAAGGGTCTTTTAAGATTTATTCTTTATTAAATCAAAATTTTCAGCCTTATTTTTGGAACATTGTATATCTTTAAAAAATAATTGGAGGCCAGGCATGGTGGCTCATACATGTAATGTATGAGGCAGAGATCAGAATGGTCATAGTTTGAGGCCAGTCCTGGCAAAAAAAATTAGCAGGATTCTGTCTCAGCCAATAAGCTTCATGTGGTGACACATACCTGTCATCCCAGCTACACAGGAGGATCTTGGTCATCCAGGTCTCCTAAAGCAAAAGTACAAAACCCGATCCAGAAAATAACTAAAGCAAAAAGGGTTTGGGTAGGGAGTGGGTGTGACTTGAGTGGTAGAGCACCTGCATAGCAAGCACAAGGTATTGAGTTCAAATTTTAGTACCACTCCCCCTACCAAAAAAAAAAGAAAAAAAAGGAAACAATTGTAGGTGGTATCTTTTAGATGATCTATAAAATCTTAGAAGAAACTCACATACTTTTAGAAACTTGAAGATCATATTGAGTGAATGAAATATGCTCCCTCCATGTACTGATGTTCTTGATGTCTCTTTGTGGGTATTGAACCTTCATTTGATGGCTTATTTGGCTAAGCTCCAAAGCATTGCAAGTGCCCTCTTAGATTCTTACTATTAACACTATTCATGTGCAAAGAAAAGTTAATTGTTGGAAGTCAAGAGAGGCCAGAGTAAGTATTGTCACAAGAGCCTGTCAATTCCCAGCTAAGGACAAGCTAATTCCATAGGAGGAAACTTCATAGTAAACATGAACCCTTCCTTACCTACCTTCCATAACCTAGGAAAGAGTCAACACAGACTTTTCCAAGGTAGCACCTTGTTGATCTCCGTTGATCTTTCTAATGGCTACGTAGCATGTATAGTCACCATGTTCTGTTGATAGATATTTGATTTTTCTCAGTGTTTTGTTATATATCCTTATATATTTATCTTTACTATATTATTTTCTAGAATTAAGTCCTAAAAGTGAGATTCATGAGTTGAAGGGTATGCACATTTTAGATTTAAATAGATATCATGAAATTACTTTTGAAAAAGGGAAGACCCACTACAATACATTCTCAATACAGTGCATGAAAAAAAACTTTGTTTTCTCATTGTTTTTGCAGCAGTAGATACTAGCTAGCTTTTTAATTTCTGCCCAGCTGTTGGGAGAATGGCACCTGATTAGTGTTTAATTGTTTTATCTAATCCATCTTTTCCTAGAGTTTTACTTGTTAAACTGGCTATGGACCTTTAACATCTTTTAATGTTCCATTTTTTTCCATTGTTCTCCAAAGATCACTTCTAACTTTCTATTTAATACTGAGGTCTCAGGATATCTCATTAGTTCAATTGTTTATGGAATTCAAAAGTTAAAAAAAAATCATTCCTGTTGTTTTCTTTAAAGAACCATTTAAATGATTACTTTGTATTTCTTCACCTGGATCTTGTATCATTAAGCAAATTCATGGTTGTATAGCATTGATAAACATTTGTTTCATGTATCTTGTAGCGAATCCTATTTGAGGTTTCCCTCTTGTGTTTCTCCTCTAATGTGCAGAGCATTGCTGTATGGTGGAATGCGAGAGTCTCAGCCTGAAGCAGAAATCCCTCTCCAAGACACCACTGCAGAAGCATTCACAATGCTACTCAAATACATCTATACTGGGCGGGCAACACTGACAGATGAGAAGGAGGAGGTGCTGCTGGATTTTTTGAGCCTGGCTCATAAATACGGATTTCCTGAGCTGGAGGATTCTACCTCTGAGTATCTTTGCACCATACTTAACATTCAGAATGTTTGTATGACTTTTGATGTTGCCAGTCTCTACTCACTTCCCAAGTTAACTTGTATGTGCTGCTTGTTTATGGACAGAAATGCTCAGGAGGTACTTGCAAGTGAAGGTTTCCTCTCCCTTTCCAAGGTGTGTCATCGTTTGCAAGTAATTTTTAAGCATGCATTGTTTTATTTATGTCTGTACAGAGGCAACACAGCAGTGGACTAAAAATAAGAAAAATAAAGATTGCTAATATCAAAGAGGTCATCTGGTCTAACTACTGCATCTGGCCACTGGAACTCTAGGCCATGTAAGAGATAGGATGATTAGTTCCAGTTTTTATTTATTTTTTTTAAAAAGGTTTCTCTAGTAAGTTTTATGTGAAAGAGAGACTGCTGCTATGTGTTTGTTTTTAATATGATGATAGTCATATAGGGTCCTTTTGGCATTCCATTCTACTTTTTGGTTTTGTATTTTTTGACAAAGACTACAACTTTAATTTTATTTATTTATTTTTAGTTTTCTTGCAACTAGTAATTCTTTTCAGCAAAAGAAAATATAAGACATTCAATGTGTCACTGGATATTTCTAAGTCACCCTTTTTATTTGCTGGCTCAAAATTTGCAATTATAGCTAGAGTAAAACTATTTTGCTCAAATCTTTCTCTGAACCCTGGGGGGTGGTTGTCTCTCCTTTTCTCTTTTTTGTATTCTTCCTAGGACCTTAATATCTCTACTGACAAAATCTTTTGCAAAGCTATATATTTTGGTTTGAGTGTAAACTCTGATTTTTATTATCCTACTTAATTTTTAAAGGCAAGGATTTTTCAGGGTTGCACCAGTTGATAGAGGTCAGTTTGGAGGTCTGAGAACCAAAAATATGGTAGTACAGTAATACCAGAGAATAAAAGATTTTAGGTTTTAAAAGCCAGATGCAGCTAAGTGACCTACAAATGTATATTCTCCTATAGAATTTAGATACATTGACAGCTCCTCATTTTGTCATTTTTGTTCTTGATATTTTAAAAAAGACAGAGATGTGTTGGAAAGAGTAGATGCTTTATGTAGTGGTACAAAATGCCTGAGCAGGAAAGGAAGGGGCTACTGTCCCTTTTTACTATTCACACAGCCGTAGATGGGCAGGAGAACATATGGCACAAAGCATAAGGAAAGACAAAGGTCAAAATTAATTAATTGTCTACATGTAAGTGATACCCATGGTTCTTTAAAGTTGAACTTATTGATCATGCACATAGTTGGGCTCCATCATAACTTTTTTCCTTTTTATCCTTTTCAGACGGCACTTTTAAACATCGTATTAAGAGATTCATTTGCAGCTCCTGAAAAAGATATTTTCTTAGCCTTGTTAAACTGGTGTAAGCACAATTCAAAGGAGGATCATGCTGAAATCATGCAGGCTGTGCGTTTACCTCTGATGAGCCTCACTGAACTTCTGAATGTTGTGAGGCCTTCTGGACTGTTGTCTCCTGATGCCATTCTGGATGCTATTAAAGTACGGTCAGAGAGCCGGGATATGGACCTCAATTATAGAGGCATGCTCAGTAAGTACCTGTTTATTTACCCTCAACTCACCAGCAAGTGGTGTTTGCATCTTATGCCATTCCTAACTACAAAACTTTAGCTATAGAACTACAGTGCAGGCTATCAACATATAGATCTGCTTCCTGAGAAATGTCTTTCCTGTTATCCTCAAGTTCGTTCTTCCTGAGACTGATTAGCCATTGTAGACCTAAAAATAGGTGTTTCTTGCTTGGACAGATTTCACTGTTCTACAGAATGTCAGATGTAGACATTTTCTTGAAATTTTTCTTCTGCTTAGTCTTTTATTCCCTTCCTCCTTTAAACAAGTACTGAGGACATGCAGTGTACTTACTGTTATTTTAGGTAGTACAAATATGGAGATTTTAAATTACAGTAACAATAGCTAACATTAATATAGCATTTCTAACACTTATGTTATGACTTTTCTTGTTAATGAAAATAATAGCAGTTAATATCCATAACTGCTTATGGTGTATTGAGGACAGGTCCTACATGAACATTTTATCTTTGCAATCCTTTGAGGTAGTTGCAACTTTACAAATTGAAGAAACTGGAGCACAAAAAGGTTAGATAACTTGCCCAGGGTCAGGGTCATACAGAAAGATGAAGAGCTGAGAGTAAAATCTGTATAGTTTGGCTCCAGGGGCTGGGTAATTTATCCACTAAACTATGCTGCGTATGTGCGAAACACTCTCTGCCCTTGATCTTTTTCAGTTCATCATGGAAATAAGACATAACTTCTGGGAAAATTTAAATATAACAGTGTTCAAGAAGTACATGCTATGGACTTTCAAAGAAGAGTGGCTTAGAATGATCGAGGGAGGACAGAAGGCATGGCTCAAGTGGTAGAGCACCTGCTTTGCAAGCAAGAAGCCTTGAGTTCAAACCCAAGCACCACACACCCACCCACCCACCCACCCACCCAACACAGACATACAAGAATGACTGAGGTTATGTATCCTGAGTTTGATTTGAATGGCGTCAGGGTTGGATAAGCTTCAGGTTCGAAGACTGATAAGGTTAATAGAGGCTAGACCTTCTGCGGGTCCATGACTAGAAGATCTTGATTAGAACAGAAGGCGTTTGTTGATTAATGATAAAGTGTGTGGGGTTTAGACTTTGGAAGAGAACAGTAATTTCTTGTTTCTGCATGTTTGTAGCTGGAAACTATATCAAAGATTCTATTTTCTGGATTTTTTTTTTTTAAATTGAGTAAAGGTCAATGTGTTCCTAAGATTGCTAAGGTAAATTATTGGTTAATATTTTTGAGTGTTTAAATAGCCATGTGTTTAAATCTGTCCTGTTTATTCTGTATCTATTCCCCTAGTTTCTAGTCAGACTGAAGCATCTTTGCTGCTGTGATAACAGTAATTATTGATTTACTTGCCTGGGCCCTACTACATTGAGATTCTTTTATTTTTATTTTTTGTGGTACTGGGGATTGAACTCAAGGCCTTGCACTTGCTAGGCAAGAACTCTACCACTTGAGCTTTGCTCCAGTTCTTTTGCTTTAGCTATTTTTGGGATAGGGTCTTGTGTTTATGCTGAGGCTGATCTGGACTGTGATCCTCCTATTTATGCTTCCTGTGTAGCTGGGATTAGAGGGGCACATACACCACTACGCCCAACTTTGGTTGAGAGGTGGTCTCAATGGTGACTTTTTGACTAGGCTGGCCTCGAATGGTGATCCTCCCGATCTCCGCATACTGAGTAGCTAGGATTAGAGGTGTGAGCCACTATACCTAGTGAGATTGAGATCTTGAGGATTGTTTGCCTGTGTTTTTCTATTACCTAGCATAGTACCCGAATTTTGACTGAATGAATTCATTTTTCCTAAACTAGAATTTATGCCTGGCTCAACTGTAACATAAAGACAATAATGACAATAGTGAACCTTTTAAAACTCTTTGACTTCTTTTACTATTATATCTTTACAATTACAGTTTTTTGTGATGGGGAAATGTCATCTGTTAGCTAGTGGTTCATAAATCACCTCTAATGAGTATTCCTCTGTGGTGGTATTCAGCGTCTTTAGATGTTTCTCTTGTCTCTTTAGATGGTGAACTCCTGAGGGCAGAGTCCACTATAGTGACCCACACAGAGGAGGCAGCTTGGGCCTTTTTTTTTTTTTCTCCTTTAAATATATAGAATGAAGGTTCCATTTAGCTGGGTTTTCTTCTTTGGTAACCTGTCTAAAGTTATTTAGTGAAATCAGTGCCTAAGCTAGGACCAAATTTGCTGGACCTCCCTGCCTCAGGAGGCCAGTGCTCTTCCATAGATTTTCTTGCCTGGGTTCTTCTTTTTAATTACCATTTTGTGCCTTTGAGTACCAGTAATATTAAATGGGAAAAAGAGGCCTGCAGAGAGTAGGGATAAGGTAAGACAGGCAGTGTTAAGAAAGTCATTTGTAATGCTGCAGTAGTTGGGGATATTATAGGGAGGATCCATATCTTCTTCAGTAGAGTCAGGATAGGGATAGATGATGATTTAGGTGACAATATTGGGTAAGGAGACTGTCTGGATCCAAATAATGCATCAGGATGCATGACTGTGTCAACTTACATGTAACAGAGAGTCTGATAAAAGATGATTAAGAATATAAAACAATTAAAGAAAAGCATAAGTTGATTTGCCCAGTACCACTCAGATTTTGGCACTGTATAGCTAGGGGGGGTCTGTCCTGCTCTATTTCTTCTTCTTTTTCCTCTAATGATTAAGTTGTTCCTACCTAGCTATAGAGCTTCAAAGCTTATTTTTTTCTTAATAGCTATAAAAAGCATTACAAATTACAAGTGTAAAGAAAATTATGATTGCTACCTACTATCTTGTTTAGTCTCCATACCTTGTAGTTTTTGAGAGCTCTTTTCTCTACTGATAGAGAAATACAGGTCGAATACTTATGGTTTGAATTTTTTATGATTTGAATTTTCTCAGGATCACTTTTCCTTTTAAGTTTATCACATAACTATAGATTTTGCAAAAAAAAAAAAAAAGTACTTAGAGTTGTATTTTTATCCAGCAAGATGCTCACATTCTAGTTACCATGAGAGAATTGCCACTTGTATAAATGTTCTACATTTTGAAAAGTAAGATACTTTCAGGGAATGCATCTATCAAGAATAGCTAGAAAAGTTCTCAAGTACTCTTGAAGTAAACTTCAAAAGATACTTGTGGTAGAAATTTCATTTCTATTTTAGATTTTAGTTACAGTCTTTTGAAACTCTTGTGTTTTTCTTAGCTTGATAAATTTCGTGCTGAAGAAGCTTACATTGAGAGAAAATCAAAAGGTAGTCTCAGTTTCTAAACCTGAGAGCTTGGTATTCCCCTCTGAAACTTGATCTTGACTTGCAGAATTAGAGGAGGTTATAGTGGTCAGCAGTGACTGACTGTGCCTGCATATTTTATACTTAGCAAAAAGGGAAAAATAGTTCTTTTTTCTAAGTAGCTATCCATCACTGATAACTGAAAAGCACAGGTTTGAAGCTTTTGTTTGTCTTCTCTATATTTCCTATCTCTAGATGTGCAGAAGGGCAGGGCCTGTCTTGGTCTAATTCACTAAGTTGCTCTTAGTGCTTTGCACTATAGCCTGCATGGAGTGAGTCTTTATATAAATGTGTTTTGAGTTTAGCATACATTATTTGCAGTGACATTTTAATAGTAATTCCATGAGGTGGTTTGGGCAAAATATTTTAAAAAATTTTTTTAGATGAGGAAACATTAAGAGAGATCAAAGGCCTCAAGGGTAGTACTAGAATATGAGTCTTTTTTTTTTTTTTTTTTTTTTTTGTGGGACTGGAGTTTGAACTTATGGATTCATATTTGCAAAGCAGGTCACTTGACCCACACCTCCAGTCCATTTTGTTCTGGTTATTTTGTAGCTGGGGTCTTATGAACTGTTTGCCTAGGGACTGGAGTTTGAACTTATGGATTCATATTTGCAAAGCAGGTCACTTGACCCACACCTCCAGTCCATTTTGTTCTGGTTATTTTGTAGCTGGGGTCTTATGAACTGTTTGCCTAGACTGGCCTCAAACTTTGATCCTCCTGGTGAGCCTGAGTCTTAAATATAGATTTTTTTTTTTTTCACTTCAAGTCCAACTTTTTTAATGTTTCAAGTAACCATAGAGAGAAATAGGGGCTAGAAAGAGGGAAAAGGTAAAGTTTCCTAAAAGAAACTCTTGATGAGGGAATGACAGACTACTGTATTAAAATCAGGGCCCCTGGAGACAGACTGCTTGGGTTCTAACCTCAGCTCTGCTCCTGCTGGTTGTGTGACCTTGAGCAAGTAAACTCTGTCAAACTTTTCTGTGCCTTTACTTCTCATCTGTGAAATGGATATAATAGAAGTATTGCGCTCAGAGGATTATTATGAGGAATAAGTCAAAAGAATTAATATTTGTCAAGCACTTAGAATGGTGTCTATCTAGCACATAGTGTGCATTATTTAAGGTTTGCTCAATAAGAAGAATATGGGAGCTTATCATAAGCTAATATATCTTAGGAAGTTATAAATCTATACCACATAAGCCTCTGATGATAAGAAGTCCAGCATGACTGGAGCTGTAGTTTGTTTTTTCTGAGTTGCCTCAGTCTTGCTAGTTCTCATCTCTTTCCCTCTCTTCCCTGCTCCTCTCCTCCCATCCCTGTTTTCTCCTCTCCCTCTCTGTCTTTAGGACTGGGGTTCAACTCAGGGCTTTGCACATGCAAAATGGACATTCTACCACTTGAGCCACACCTCCAATCTATTTTCCTCTGGCTATTTTGAAGAAGAGGGTCTCATGAACTTATATTTGCCTGGACTGGCCTCAAACCATAGTCTTCCAGATCTCAGCCTCCCAAATAGCTAAGATTACAGGTGTGAGCCACCAGTGTTTGGCTGGCCTCTTGATTTTCTATGGAGAGTGCCAGTTTTAGAATGTTAGTACGTGAGGAGCAGCTTCCAGAACTATGAAGCATAATTTGTGTAGAGGACTTCAAAGTCTCAGGCACAATTGGTATTTCATAAATCTCATATTGGAGAAGAGAGGGGATTTAGTATAACCAAAATGCTGATTTTGATGATAGGCTTCTGATTTTTTGTTTTAAAAAATTCTGAAATGAAGTAAAGTATATTTTCTTTTTAAATATAATCTTGTGTTTTAGCTAGATGAATTGATTCAGATGTCTGCGTATGACTAATAGCTATGCTACATTGGTGCGCTCTTTCCCTTTGTTTTACCAGATAATCTGACTTATTTGCTTTGCTTTCATACATTGTCTTTAGTCCACATGGCAGGTACAGGTCATCCTACATGCTATTTTTGTTCAATAGGTATTAAATTAAATCTACTAACAGAATGAACTCAGCAGAGCCAATTTGTTTGTCCTTGTATATGCTTTCTCTAGTATTACCAGCTTTTTCTTAATAACATATATTCCCAGGCACATTATGGTTGTGATAGTGACATTAAATTTAAACTATGGATGGTATGCTAATCTTTACAGATATTCTTTATCTTCTATTCCCATAGCCTTGTCTAGGCCGTCTTTAATGTGTCTTTTTTTTTGGTGGTGTTGAGTTTTGAACTCAGTTCTTCACGCTTGCTAGGCAGGTGCTCTACCACTTGAGCCACTCTGCCAGGTTAGGCCATCTTTAAAAGCATACATTGGAATCAACTAGAATGCTAGAATTTTATCTTTTCCCTAAAAATGTACAGTAATTTAATAAGTAACCACTAACCTTGCTTTTTCTATCTTTAATGATAGTACCAGAAGAAAACATTGCAACTATGAAGTATGGAGCCCAGGTTGTGAAAGGGGAGCTGAAGTCTGCCTTACTAGATGGTGATACTCAAAATTATGATTTGGATCATGGATTTTCTAGGCACCCAATTGATGATGACTGCCGTTCAGGCATTGAGATAAAGCTTGGTCAGCCGTCCATTATCAATCACATACGGATACTCCTATGGGACCGGGACAGCAGGTGAGTCAGTGTGACTTAGGGAGAAACTGACCTGACATTTGGTGGAGAGTGCCTAACCTTGTGGTCATCTGCTTTGGCTTTACAAATTTTAATGGTTTATTTCCTTGTGATCATTCTGCTATTCCTCTTGAAGTTCTGTGGGAAGAGTTAAAGATTACATTCCATTAAAAAATGGTTTTTAAAAGCTAAACATTGATCTACCAGTTGATCCAGCAGTACCACTCTTGGGGATATACCCAAAAGACTGTGACACAGGTTACTCCAGAGGCACCTGCACACCCATGTTTATTGCAGCACTATTCACAATAGCCAAGTTATGGAAACAGCCAAGATGCCCACTACTGACGAATGGATCAAGAAAATGTGGTATCTATACACAATGGAATTTTATGCAGCCATGAAGAAGAACGAAATGTTATCATTCGCTGGCAAATGGATGGAATTGGAGAACATCATTGTGAATGAGGTTAGCCTGGCCCAAAAGACCAAAAATTGTATGTTCTCCCTCATATGTGGACATTAGATCAAGGGCAAACACAACAAGGGGATTGGACTTTGATCACAAGATAAAAGCGAGAGCACACAAGGGAGGGGTGAAGATAGGTAAGACACCTAAAACTTTAGTTAGCATTTGCTGCCCTCAACACAGAGAAACTAAAGCAGATACCTTAAAAGCAACTGAGGCCAATAGGAGAAGGGGACCAGGAACTAGAGAAAAGGTTAAATCAAGAAGAATTAACCTAGAAGGTAACACACATGCACAGGAAATTAATGTGAATCAACTCCCTGTATAGCTATCCTTATCTCAACCAGCCAAAACCCTTGTTCCTTCCTATTATTGCTGATACTCTCTCTTCAACAGAATTAGAAATAAGGGCAGAATAGTTTCTGCCGGGTATCAAGGCAGTGGGGGGGAGAGGGAAGGGGCAGAGTGGGTGGTAAGGGAGGGGGTGGGGGAAGGGGGGAGAAATGACCCAAGCCTTGTATGCACATATGAATAATAAAAAAATTTAAAAAATTAAAAAAGCAAAACCAAAACCAAAAACACTTTTTAAATGCTCATAAAAGTACTGAATATATATTTATTAGGGAAAAATAGAAAACACATGGAATAAAATTGCTAATAATCTCACTGCCACCCATTATTAAAATTTGTATGTGTTTAATTTTTTTAAAAATTATGCACAGCAGACACACACACCCATGTGCACATAGCCTGTGCATAGTTCTACAGAACAAAGATATCAAAAGCTACCTTCACTTTTTTTTTTTTCTTGCTAAGTTGCCCAGCCTGGTGTCTAACTTGCCATTCTCCTGCCTCATCCTCCAAATGCTGGAATTAAAGATGTGCACTCTCATGCTTGGCTTTTACTTCACTTTTTAATTAGTATATTTTAAAATTCTGCCCTTTGAAAAATATTCCTCTAAAATGTTACTTTTAAATTGGTTGTGTGGTATCCCACCATATAGCCATACAGGTTAACATTATTTACTTGATTCCTTATTTTTGGATATCATAATAGCTTTTTTTCCTTTTTGATGGGACTGGGGTTTGAACTCAGGCTTTGTGCTTGCAAAGCATGTGCTCTGCCACTTGAGCCACACCTTCTGCCCATTTTGCTCTGGCTATTTGGAGATAGGGGTCCTGCGAACTATTTGCCCAGTCTGGGCTGGAAGCATGCTATCCTCCCAATCTCAGCCTTCTAAGTAGCTATGGTTACAGACATGAGCCAGTAGTGCCCTGCTGTAGTAGCTTCTTAAGTGTATTTCATCCTGTGATTGAAGAAAAAAATTGTCTTTTAGTGTGTGAATAAATATCCTCAAAACAAAAAAAAATTATGAAAAACTTTGGTAGGCTCTAGGCTGGAATCCACTGTTTCTCAGCCACTTCAACATTCTGCCCTCATCTCTGCTATTGTGATGCCTTTGTCCACTATGACTTCTTGGGCCCATCCATGATGGCAGAAGTACCAGAGCAATGGGTGACCTGTCTTTCTTATTGCTGCTTAACCTGAACCATACACGCTCAGAAACTAGGCCCTGTTCATGCCTCTTTGGGTCTGGGCTGAAGAATTAAGAGCAAGAGTGATGATGCCCTGTACTCCTTGCAAGGAAGAGTGTTTCTCTTGTTAGTAACACTGACCTGGATCACCCCAGATTTTTTGACTGTTTTGACCATATATAAGGGAAGTTTTATGAGATGTAAGTCAACATTTCTCATGTACCTTGTTGTTTGAGGTCCTCAGGTGATAAGCTTCCTTTTTTATTTTTATTAAAATATTTCCTGACATGTATCTTGGTGGATATAACTTGATGTTTAATTGACAAATTAAGGTAATTCACATAATTCATTTTTAAGAGTCTCTAATCATAACAATGTGATAATATTTATATAGCACTTTTATTATTTCTATGTGGTAGTCACCATTCTAAGCTTTCATATTTCATTCATCTAATTAATAATGAAATTTATATAAAAATAATAAAAGGTTAGTATGTTTAAACTGAAAGTAGTAACCATTGTTTCTATGATAGTAAATATTTATGGGCTACTTTGTTTTAGTATCTGTGTTATGTTCACGGGGGACTTAACTTTACCATGTAACTGTTCTTTTCTCATAGACATTGTTAAACATTCTAAGCAAAGGTGAGAAATTCAAAATCTTAAGCCAAAAAGATTCTGACGTGTTGTAAAATTATATCCTGCATTACTGATAACCCAGAGAGGTTCAATAAAAGGTTATAACCAGTTTGAGACTGAGCAATAAAATGAATGGGAGTTGAGGGGACAGCAGAAAATGAGGGGATGACACAAAATAAGCTGACCTTTTCTGGTCACAACTGTGGGTTGCAGGCTGACATTTATGGCCACCTAAATCTTCCAAAATTGTTTCTGTTGATATTACAGTACAAGTAATAACTGTATCTCAAATTTAAATTTGGCCTATGACAAGGGAATATAGATTTGTTCAGTATGGGACCAGCGTGTAATGGTCTGGGAAGCTGACCAGAGGCGGATGATAGGCTATTTTCATTACTGCTAGGTTATTAGCTAGCAAGTTTTAAGTTGTACTCAGAAGAAACACATGTTATCTCCTCAGTCATATCATTTATTTTTGTGCAGTTGGCTTTTATGTGTGGGATGGCAGGAGACTGAGAGGTAGCAGGAGATAAGCTGGCCTCTGTAGGGAACCATTCCAAGTTGACTTTCCTCCTGAAGGGAGGGCCAAGCACCCAGGCCAGGGACCTGGAAAGAGAGGCACATTTCCTGCTTCTCTTTTTTTTTGCTACTTCTATCTCCTTCTCTTCTTTTCTCTCCCTCCTTTCTCCTCTGCCCTCACTCTTTCTCAGCTTTATTAATCTGTTAATATGGTATTGCTAAGCATTCTGGCCATGTTTGAAAAGAAGAAAATGTCTTGAAGGCCTGATACGTGCCAAGCTAAGCTATGTTCCTTGTTCTTAAGCAGTTTATGATTTGATAAGTCAGACAAGCTGGTGAATGTTACACTAGAAGCTAATATATAGCCTCCATTGTTACCTGAATTTTATTATGCAGAAAATGTAATTAGTTAATTCTACATATTGGGTACCTTTTAATGGTTTACTTAAGTATAACTTTGTATTGATTTTTATTTATTTATTTTGGTGGTACTGGGGTTTGAACTCAGGCAGGTGCTCTACACTTGAATTATGCCTCCAGTCCTGTATTGATACTTTAATATGATAAATTTTCTGCCTTTTTCCTTTTACCTCCTAGGTCTTACTCCTACTTTATTGAAGTGTCAATGGATGAGCTTGACTGGATCAGAGTGATCGATCACTCCCAATATCTTTGTCGGTCTTGGCAGAAGTTGTATTTTCCCGCCCGTGTGTGCAGGTCAGTTCTCCTTGTTACTAAATGATTTTGATTTTGATTTAAGGAGATGTGGACTTTGAGAAGAAGACTGCATTTTTCCATCTTGTGGAAGAATAATTTTTCAGGATATCAACCATAAAAAAAACCTAGAGAAAATTATGTGCCTTAGCACTTAGAATACTCTGTGGAACCATTGAACATGCACTGTGTTTCTGTGTAGAAATGTTAGGAGTAAGAAAGGGCATGGAACGCTTGAGGAATAGAAATACACACTGAGAGGGGAATTATTGGTAGGGGTGAGTTCTTCCCACAAAAGCCAGGAAAGGTAAGAGGTTTTCCTTGTAGTGCCCAGGGTAGGAGGAGAGTTTTGGATGCCAATGTGCATGTCCTGGGTATGTGTGTTCTTTCTCTAGGCCAGTGCCATCAGGGGGTTGGACAGAATAGGCATTTCAAGTGGGGTTGGGGATGGGACAAGGGAGGTTCATCTGGAGGGTTCCATGCTCACGTCTTCCCTCAATCCATAACACTGAGCTTTTATTGTTGTTGATACATTGCAGTCCTAGGAAAGACTGTTTTGTTAAAAGTATGAAAAGCTACCACTTAAATGTTTCATATTCTCTCTTTAGGTATAAACCATCATTTAAACTTTATGAAATTCTGCCAGCTTATACAACTGAATGAATTTGGGATTTGGGAAAGGTGGTTAAAGGCCCCTGAAATTCTGTAGTTTTGTTCTTTTGTTGTTTTCCAACTGGATGGTCTCTTCAGACATTCTTTATCTTCAAGCAGAAAGTGGTGGGTTCATTTAGTCAGGTGTGGCAGGAGGAGAAGGATAGGGATATGGGGGTATAAACCAGAGAGAATGTGGAGCTGGCCCAGCTTCCTCTCCTCCCACCCTCACTTCCCATAGTGGCCAATGTGGAACAGGTGATGCTCTGCAGCGCTTAGTCTCCTGGATGGATGTCGCCCTTACACTTGTTGACCTCATAGGATAACAGCATAAGGCTGAATTCTACCTCAGCACAAGAACTGCGCAAGCACTTTAGCCTCTAGTGCGGTAGAAAGCATCATGTACATTTTTTATTATGGGTATGACTGGACACAATATTGTTACCCAGGGACCCTCTTGTGTGAAAATGAAGAAAATCAATTTCATTTCCCCAAAGAGGGACTAAAGTGTCTCAGGTCTGGGAGTTGGTCTTTTATTACAGGAGTTTTGAATGGATTAAAATAAGCTGGACAAGAAATTGAATGAAGATTCTATATCTGAGCTGCCTAGGGATACTTGGAGAGTGACAGAGGACCCCTGTGTGGAAGATGAGATCAAGTCTGCAGTGACTCAGGTTGTTCTTGTACTGGATTAAAAAATGAGCAGCCTAAAAATCAAAGTCCTATATGGCCTACAGGACAGTGCATTTGTATTTAATTGAAAGCAATAGGAATGTGATTCCTAAAACAAATCATTGTGAATGTAATACTAGCCAATATTGTCTGGGTGCCTTACCCATGAGACATATGCCTTTAGTCATGATCTCTGACTTTTGAAAACACTTTCCTTATATTTATTAATGGGCATAATTTATACTATTGCCTTATGTTGTGTCCCCTGTCTGGCCTTGACTTTGTCAGTATGGCTTTTATATGTTTAGAGCCTGGCTATACTCATGATGGCAGCTTTTATTTTGGTATATTGGCATATCAGTTCCAGACTCAAAAAATTGAGCAAGGATGATATTAAAGGGAAGAGGGTTATTTTTATTTTTATTTTTTTGTCGTACTAGGGCTTGAACTCAGGGCCCCCATACTTGCTAGGCAGGTATTCTATCACTTGAGCCACACCCCCAAAAAGGAATGAGTCTTGATACTCACATTGGTAAGAAAATTAAAAAAAAAACCAACCCAATCCTTATGGCTATTTTTAACACTTTCTTTTTTTACTACATTCCTGCATAAACTCAGCTTTGTGTAATAGGTTAGAATATCAATAGTGTTTTTAAGAATAAGAATGACTATACTGATTATTCATTGATATCTTAGCGTTACTTACCTTCACAATCACTTATTGACTACCCAAACAGTGTTCTAAATATACTTGTTCCAGGAACTTCACTGGGCAGATAAATACTTTATTTCCTTAGCATGTAAGTGTTCGGTTTGCATTATCTTAGTTAATTTGCATGTTTGTATGTCACCTTTGTTCTTCAGTGTCCTTTGGGTGTTTGTCTTGCCTGTAATACTAAACTTAAAAACTCTTAGAGGAAAGGAATATGAATTCTAATGTTTTAGTAGTTTTGAACAGTACTTAGACTGTGACCTTGTATGCAGTAGGTATTCTATAAACATTAGTACAGATTTCATGGTGTCAAGGCACTGACTATGTAATGATGAGGTATTGATTTAGCATTAAAAGGTACATATATTCATTGGTTCATTTTATCAGTGTATGCATTAAGGTGAGAATGAGTGGTGAAAAACTCCCTGGAGTGGTAAGTGACTGTGTACTGTCTGAAAAGGTTACTTTCTTTGCTTTTGCTCAGGAACCTGATTTTTTGAGGTTAATTTTACAGGATACAGTGTCATGTACTGATGAAAAATTTTGTCTATATTGACAAAAGAGATACTCTATGAATTGAAGAGTGGGAGATTGCCTAATCCTCTTTCTGAGTCCAGGCAAAACTACACATAATCAGCATTGTGTAGTAGAAAAACTCGTAGCTAGAGCTCTTCTCAATCCTATTTCACCTTATGCTTGCACTGCAGTAAAGCTGTGCCTCTCTGAGCAAGGTAGCCTCACCCCAAAAGAGGAGGAGCACTTTGCTGTAGGAGTTGAGTGACAGCAAATTCACAAGTACTGAGCACAGTGCCTGGGCAAAAGTAATGGCTCAGTAAGTAGCAGTTGCTTTTTATCATTTTTCCTAATTTCTGAGACTCTCAACTGCAGTTGGTCCTTCAGAGAATGGGAGTCATCTGTGCATCATCTTTGGCATTATGGTTCTCCCCGTGAAGACACTGTTCCTTATCTCAGAAGCCAGGGTTTTTTTTTGGTACTTTCTGGATTGTCATTCTGTACATAGAAATCCTAAACCTTCCTTAAATAGTTCTCTTTATCTTAATAACCTGCTCATTTTTTGTGTCCAGTAGTTTTTATATATTTTATTTTTGGTAAACATTTTTTTCTTTTGGTAAAATATGTAGCATAAACATTCCTATACCTCATGCATTATAATTCATTAGCATTTACTTTGCTAAGATAACAGTTATTATCTGGTGGCTTCAAGGCCATGGTTGTTTCAACCATGATAGTGGATGGAGGGACATGATTTACTCTTGTCTTTCTGGACTCTCTCCCTTTTCTGTACTGGAGGTATCTCTAGTCCTTTTATGGTTTAGTTATTTTTTGGGTAGGGTCTCATCTTTTTGCCCAAGACTAGTCCTGGACCACAATCCTCCTACCTCCTGCATAGCTGGGATTAAGGTGTGTACCACCACATCTAGCTTATTTGTTGAGGTGGGGTCTCAGAAGTTTTTTTTTGCCTGGCTGGCCTGAAACTGTGATTCTCTCAGTCTCTGCCTTCTGATTAGCTGGGATTACAGGTGTGCACTACCATGCCCAGTTCCTTTTTAAATTTTGTTTATGAGACAGGATCTCACTTGTACTTTTGCCCAGGCTAGCCTTAAAGTCACAATCCTGCCTCCACCTAGCTGGGATTACAGGCATACACTATCATGCCTGGCTCATTTAATAATGATTTCTAATGTGACTGGCGATCTTTATCATATCCTGAATTCTAGCATATTTACTCTGTTCCATTGAAACCTTTGATTATTGCTGAATGTTTTAATTATTGTAGCTTCCCTTCCCTCCTCTTTCCTGTTTTCTTAGAGTGAGAGATTATAAAGTGCCAAATGTGTTACAGGAAAAACAGAGGGTGTTATAAAGCATCTGTCAGCCTGTCTCATGGCCTCAGGGGTCATATTGGAGGCCATAGTGATGACAGGCAGCTTACCAGATTGCTGTATTTTCACTTACAACAAGAAATTTAGTCATGCTTCACCAGCTAAGGAAATAGATTTCTCTTCCTTTATGAATCTGTTTATTCATTCATCACTTAGTCATTCAGCAAATAAGCACCTACTTTGTGCATGCATCACACTTGATACCGAGGCCTTAACACTGAAGAAGATGCCAGGTTTTCTGCTCTCATGGAAGTTGGGAGAGGCCCAAACACATTTCTAAGAACGCATCAGGTGACTGCAAGTGATGGAGATCTTGTACTCAGGGAAGGCCAAAGAGGGAGGTAGGTGTTTGAAGATGAGATAACACGTTCTGGTCCTTTTTGTACATGTTTAAGCTGTCTTTGACATGCATACTGAATGTTTTTCAGAGTAGCTTCTACTGTAGGAGGGAGGCCTCATTAGATGAATACTAAAACTGTTCCAGCTTCTGGTTTTTATCTCCTTTATTGCTACCATACATTCCAGGTCTCCCCGCCTCCCTGCTGTCATTATTTTTTAATAAATAATTTTTTATTATATAATAATTTTTTTTTGCCTATTCTCATTAGATTGTAGTACTTACACAGTGCTATAGATCCAGAAGACTTAAAACAAATGAGAAGGTAAACATTGCTGTTTATGGATGCAATCTTTCCCTGATGTATTAGCAGAGTGTCTGCTCTCTTTTAATCTCCCCTTTCTTCTCCCCCTAATTGGACATTGATGTACTTATTTACTTTTAAAGACACTTTTATATTATTTAGTGGTTTACCTGGAAACTTTAGAATCCTAGCCGCACTTAGGCTGAGTCTTTACTTTATGTGATCTAAGAGCTCTCACCAAAAAAAATGCCTTATTCAGATATAAAAGAATAACAAGTAGTTTCACTTTTAAAAAGTAATTGTTTTAGTTTACACTTGGTTTGAATTTTTCCTGTGTTTAAAAGGTGATATCATAATTGAACTAGCTATAGAACATTGTGCACACAGAGGAACATTTTCTTGCAAAGCAAAATGTAGCCACATGGTGTCACTAAATTATAGCAATTTTACTTAGAGCCAAAGAGAATTTGAAATGCCTTTTAAAAAAATAAAACCATATTTAAATATAAATTGTTCTGAAGTCTGTGATTTGTGAAATAACATGTAAAACTATTTGTACTATTCAAGTCTTCCTGCTGATGTGGAGTGTTAATTATGCCCAGAGTCTGTAGATACACGTTTGGGTGCTATACCTAATTCCTGAGTTGTCATCTGTAGAGATAGGAGATATGTGGCCTTCTGTGGCACATTTACTCACTTTTCTACAAATAAGTTTTTTAAATGTTTGGTTTTTTGGAATTTAAAAATAAACATAACTTAAAGGAGATTCATTAAATATTTATGAGGAATCAGAAATATTCTGTCCTTAGGGGAAGGACAGAAAGGGAAGGGAGTAACACTTACTGAATGTTAGCTGAGGGCTGACACATAGCATTACTTTATGTGACTCTCACAATAGACTTCTTTAATTACACAAATGAAGAAACCAAGCCTTAGAGAAGCCAAATTTGTAACCAAATCTGTCTGATTCCACAGTCACAGATGGGTGGTAAAGAAATCACTCTGCTTGCCTGGGAGTGTAGCTTAGTGGTCAAGCCTTAGCATGCTCAGGTCTTGGATTCAATTCCAGCACTGAAAATCCAATGAGAGACACTGAGAGAGAGAGATTGAGTGTGTGTGTATGTGAGGAGGGGAGGGGCGTGGAAGAGACTTTAGAGCATCAGGAGAAGACTTGGTACCCAGAAGAAACTCTGGCTGCCTGTTTGGGAGGATCAGTTTCCAGGGATGCTGTAAGAGGTCTGCTGTGACCAAATGCTGCCATGCTGGTCACAGCCGCCCAGACTGTTAACACACGTTTACTAATAATGATGATGAGCAATTGGGGAAGTTTTCTTTTTAAAAGTGCTCCAAAGACAGAGTGGCAGTCCTTTACCTAGGTAGGTTTTGTCAGTTTGTCAATAGAGCTTTGAATTTTCCTGCCCCTTCATTCCCCTTCAGATCATTTTAGACTTCATTATTACAGAGGGAAACTGACACTCTTAACCCCTGGTTTGTTTTGTGTCAGCTGTGTTTTGAAACAAATACCATTTATTATGAAGGTTCTCTTCACAAGATCTCTTTACCTCTTGAGTTGCCTTTTTTTTTTTTAAAGTTGAGAAATTATTATTTTCACCTAGAATCCTCTTATTAGGAAGAAAATCACAACACAACAACAACAAAAAAACCCCAAACACAGCTTTATATTCAGTAAGACCTTTGAGAAATGGCTGTTTGTAAGTTACTCAATTGAATTGTGGCTCTTTTGTTTTACTTTGTTTTGTTTAAAGGATAATAACATGTTGAGCGCCTTTTGTGTGTAGTGGGGAGATTGGAACATGAGAAAATAGAACAGGTTTGTCTTTTTCCTTTGTGTTTTTTTTTATAATTTTAGAATATAAATTAGTGTCTTAATAAGCCCATTGCGTGAGATGATGTTAATGACAGTAATAACCTGTTATTATTACCATAAACAGCTGTTGTCTGATTTTCATTCTGGAAGGGCAAGAACTATATTTGGTTCTGCTAAAAGTTGCTTCCCAAGCAGTTAGATCCAGAATTAAGTTGCGAAGCCTCTCCCTGGTGGATCATCAAACATGCTTTTCTCATGCTTTCCCTCTTTTCAATGCTACTTTTTTATTAATGGGATTTATTATTCAGACTTTCCCCCAACATACCTTTGTGGAACACCTGCTATACTGCAGGCACCTAGTTCAGTACCAAGGCACAGTTGCTGCTCTCAAGAACTTCATGATGTAATGGGGATAACAATCTTCTAAAAATTGATAATGTAGAACATGATAGATGCAATAATAAAGATACATAGAACTATGTAGACCCTGGCATCGATGGCTCATGCCTGTAATCCTAGCTATCCAGGAGGGCAGAGATCAGGAAGATCACAGTTCGAAACCAGCCTGGGGAAATAGTTCATGAGACCCTATCTTGAAATACCCAACACAAAAAAGGGCTGGAGGAGTGGCTCAAGTGGTAGAATATAGCAAGCATGAAGCCCTGAGTTCAAACCCTAGTACCACACACGTAAAGGATATGTAGAGTGTACAGGACCATAGTCATAAGGATTCTACTACAGAGAGGCTTTGAATTGTGTCTTAAAGGACCAAAGAATTGTGCAGGGAAAGTAAAGGAGAAAAGATTTTCTGTGCATTGGACTTGGGTAAATCTAAACCTTTCATTCAGAGCTCTCCATCATTGGGTCCTCTCTTTTTTCTAGCTTCATTCTTGGTTCTTAGGAAAAATGCCCTCTTTTGTGTTACTATTCAAAACAATCTGTCATTTGCTCACCTGTACCTCCTACCTATGTCCCTAAGCTCAAAAAATATTCATGAATGATAGTCTTCTCTTCTTATGTTACTTTGTAAACTGCCAGACATCTGTGGCTTACCCTGGTTTTAGTTACAGATACGTTTTTTAAATCTTCTTTCAATAAGATTTAAAGATTCCCTGTGAAGAACTGTAAATTGGGTTCATTGTCAGAGTGAATAGTGAAAATTCCCAAGAAGTGAAGAAAAGTCCCTCTTTTGGTACGAGAATTTAAGCTAGTGTTTCTTTTGCTTAGAAAAATAATACGTTTTCATAAGTTCTTTCCAGCATATGGACATTAGTGTTCATATTTGAGGTCTCTTTTTGTAATCTGGTTTGGTACTGCTGCTCTTTCAACACTTAATAATGAACATAGGAAATGCAGAACCAGGAAGCCAGGCATTGAACTACTAGGCATGGAACAGTGGGTTTATTGAGTACAAAGCAAGGACAGAATGTATTGCAAAGCCACTTAGGACTTGTAAGCAATGGGCCCCACCATGGGGAAACAGAGACAAAGATGAGCTGTGGAACTGGGAACAGGAACCCTGGAACTGGTGGAGAAGAGTTTCCAGAACCTCCAGCTCAGCTTCTAGAGTGGTCAAGAAAATGGTGTCAGTGGATAAAGCTTTGTTGACTTGAATTTCTGAAAGACAAAGAAACTGGAAGGACAGCTAGAAAGCAGACTTGGGCAAAAATTTATTGTGACTTTATAGTCATTTTCCTGTCCTGCTTCCTTTGGAAATAGTAATCCAAAGAAGATGTTGGTGAAGTAGTTAATAATTCTCAGTGGAGAGTTAGGCCTCTGAATGTTCAAATCTCACCCCACTGCCGGCAGTAATTGGTCTGACCTTTCATAGTATGTATAGCTTGAATCACCCAACTTAGCCATTAATTTTATGATATATCTTGTGTACTTGTCTAATTATTTTTTGGTTCCTGGACCTTGCTTTATATTCCTTTGGTAGTAGTTATTCATCATGTATCTTGCTGATTTTCTTTAGCCCTCTAACATTCCTGAATGCAGTTGCCTGGATAATAATCGATCTTTCTGGAA